GAGTGGAACTATTTATTTTTAATATTGAAACTATTTGGCTTTTGTCCAAAATATATAAATTGGATTCAGTTACTCTATTCTACCCCTAAAGTATCTGTTATAGAAATCAATGCGGCATCCCTTCCATTTTGCATTTCTCAGTCCGGCTTTAAATATTTGGGAGTACATACTCAAACCTTTTCAGGTTTATATGCAAATAATTTTTTACCCCTTATAAACAAACTCAAATCTGATTTTCAGAGATGGGACACATTATCTTTAGCAGGTAGAGTAAATTGTATAAAAATGAATGCCTTACCTATATCTTAATACAGGTGCATCTCAATAAATTAGAATGTCATGGAAAAGTTCATTTATTTCAGTAATTCAACTCAAATTGTGAAACTCGTGTATTAAATAAATTCAATGCACATTGCAATCCCTCCCAAAAAACTTTTTTTTTTCATTAAACAAGCCCATGTTATCATTTTTATGGAAGGGGAAGAATCCAAGAATCCGTAAGGACCTCCTAGAAAGACAGTGATCTCAAGGAGGCTTAGCTTTACCTAATTTTATTGGATATTACTGGGCTGCAAATCTTCAAAAAAATAATTTGTTGGTATACGTTTCCGGAGACTGATTGCTTGGTGTAAGGCAGAAGCAAATGCTTGTATTTCTACATAACTTTCTGGCTTAATAACAATGAAGCTACCCTTCTCTCCTTCTCAATATGATATGGTCTCAGTTTAGGTAAATGTATAAACTTATGTTAAGTCCTCTCTGTAATAACCCTCTGTTTCCTGCTGGTAAAATAGATCATATGTATGTACAATGGCAGAGTATGGGCTTGGCCAAATGCAGTGATTTTTCACATAGATAACACTTTTGCTAGCTTTAGTGACCTCTCAGAGAAATTTCAGTTGACACAGTCCACCCTGTTTTGTTATTTTCAAGTCCAAAATTTTATTCAGGCCCAGAGTTCAACCTTTCCTAACCTACCCCTACCTCACTATTGGATCAAATTTTACAAGCCCCTGTAAACCTTAAAGGTCAAATTTCTGCACTATATAATATGGTCATGTTTTTAAATAATACTTTCATTGACAAAATTAGAGGAGAGTGGAAAAAAAATATGGAATTTGAAATAACTGATGAAGTATGGGAAGATGGCCTGAATAGAGTAAATGGATCAACTACTTGTGCACACCTGAGTCTCATTCTTTTTACTTTACTTTACTTTTAGTCATTTAGCAGACGCTTTTATCTAAAGCGACATACAAACAAGAAAAAGTAATTAAAACTAAAAGTTAAAACTCTATAAATACTATATATATATTCACATTTAAGAAAATAAAAGAAATTAAATAAAAATGACAAATGCATACAAAAACATTTCAAAACTAAACATTTAAATGAAAACAAAAAAAAAATAAAGCTAAAAACAATTCAAAATATTAAAAGAACAAAAGGTATGACTATAATAATGATTCTAACATAACACTAAGCCAAACACCAATAAACAACTACATATGTGTATGTACAGCCACACACATATACATATACATGTACATATATATAAATAAATTCAATATATATATATTATTTCATTTCCATTTTATTTTTGATAATTTTTATTTCATTCAATTTAAGATTCTTCACCGTGTTATTACACAAAATCTAGACTTTCTAAAATCTATCCTAATGTTGATGATAGGTGTGACCGATGAAAAAATGATGAGGTTGACTTTATTCATATGTTTTGGTCCTGCCAAGTGCTGAGAAACTACTGGACGTTTATATTCAAAATGCGAAACGATGCTTTTAACTTGAATATAATGCCCTGTGTTGAAATTACTATTTTTGGAGTACCAGAACATGAAGTACCTTTGACTAACAATGTGAAAAAATTTTATTGCTTTTAGTAAGAACTTTATTGTCATTGTACATGTACAATGCAACTCTGGTGGAGCAACCTCCAGGTGCCTATTTGATACATACAAATAAGTGATGTACCATGTACATATTACATTGCCTCTTTATTAGCAAGGAGAAGAATATTGTTGGAATGGATGTTAAAGAATCCGCCTACAGCTTCAATGTGGATTTGTGACCTGATATCATTTTTAAAATTAGGGAAAATAAAATATCTAAAAAAATGATCTGTTCAAAACTTCTATAGAATTTGGAAACCCATAATTACATATTTTGAAAAGATGAAGACACTCCCCTCTAACTAACATAACTAAAATAATTGGAAAAACCATTTGGTTGAAGCATATTTACCTGTGTTATTTTTGTTTATATATTCATAACATTGTATATAGACCACAAATGTATCAGAGGTGTTTTTTTGGGACTACTCATGTTTATTTGTTCATTTATTTAACTTTGACATTGTTGTGTTCATTTTGGTACATAATGTTAGAGTGTATCCTATAGCCTATTTTGTATGGCATTAACACTATTATTATTAGAGGCCAAGCACCGAAGGTGCGATTAGGATTCTTCTTCTTCTTGTTATTATTATTATTTTAGTTTTTTTAATTATTAATTTATTTTAATGTATGTTTTAATTTATTGTGGCGGAAGGTGATGGGGGGAAATGTACAATTTTGTATTTGTATGAAGCTTTTTGTTGAAGCATGCCTTTGGAAAAGTGAATAAAATACAAAAAAAATTCTAGCTTGAACTCTTTTGAGTAGTTTATCAGGGTTGGGAAAAATTCTGAATTTTAAGAATGGGATATCCTTCAATTCATGAGTGTGAAATGGAATTGAATCGATAACACCCTGCAGGATGTTGAATTAAAATTTAAATTGTAAATACAGAAACTTGATTTAAAGGGATAGTCCACCCAAAAATGAAAATTCTGTCATTATTCACCCTCATGTCGTTCCAAACCTGTAAGACCTTTGTTCATCTTCGGAACACAAATTAAGATATTTTTGATGATATCCAAGAGCTTTCTGACCCTGCATATACAGCAACGCAACTACCACGTTCAAGGCCCAGAAAAGGTAATAAGGACATTGTTAAAATAGTCCATGTGACATCTGTGGTTCAACCTTAATTTTATGAAGCTACAAGAATATTTTTTTGTGTGCAAAGAAAACAAAAATAACGACTTTATTCAACAATTTCTTCTCTTTCGTGTCAGTCTTCACCACGTGTTCACGACAGTACCATGAAGCATGTGTGTGATGCTACTGACGCAGGAGCCGGTGTTCTGACGTAGAACCCAGATGCACTGTGCCTTGTTTACAAGCAGAGGAATGCACATGCATGCGTTGTGATACTGTCGCGAATGCATTTAAATTATTAAATGTAAAATAGATAAATAAAATATAAATATAAAGTACAAGGGCCCAATCATTCATATGGCGCAATGCGGCGCCAGGCACGACACAAGTGTTTTTTGTTAGTTTCAGCCCGACGCAGTTATCAATTTCATGTCCTGCACAATGATGATTAAATAGCAAATGCATTTGCCCCATTTATGCATTTGCCCCATTTGTGCGCACATAGTCGTGCTGGTCTGAAAACGAGGTGTGTTCAGGTGCATTGTTGGCGCGTTGCTATTTTGAGTCAACTGAAATAGACTGTGCCATTGACCAACTGAAACCTGGTGTAAACTTGGTGCAATATTTTTTTGCTAATTAAAGAGCGTGCTAGTAATATGTGCCTATAGGTGGATGAACATCGCGCGTAGACTCTGCTTATTACACACACAAGGACGCGCAGCAGCACACAAACATTCTAAATATTAAAAATGAAAGGATTACAATGTAAAAGATTATTATTGTGCCCTGCAGATGGTCCTTTCCACTCTGGAGAAGCAATGGCGCGAGCGTTACTGGCTTTTAAAGGGAATGGGAGATGAGACTCTGATTGGTTTATTGCATGTTACGCCCAAAACACACCCATTACTCATTAAGAGAACAGGTACAACCCTTTTGGACCATGCGCGCTGACCATTTTCCCGTCTTTAAACTAGCAAAAGTGGATTCGGACACGCCCTAAGTGCACTTGTGCTTAGATAGTTAGAATATGGCCCCATATTTCTATACAGTTGGTGACATTTCAAATGTCACAGTCACACTAGACATTTAGCACACACAACTTCTTTGGACACTGCAATGGTCCTGATATGGCACTACAATCTGCGATCTGTTTACAAACATTTCCTTTCACCTTAAAACACAACACAATGCAATGAGTAGATTCAAACTGCGGGTAAAACACCTGCAAAATATCAGTACAGAAAAATTCTTCATATTAAAACAGCACATTGGGCCGTATTTTTGTTGACTTTGTGTAAGTGCTTAAAACTTTCCACTTTAGTTGCTGTTTTAGGTCTGTTCATGTTTTTAAAGGGAAATTTTAAAGGGAACAGAAGAATTCTGCATTTTTCTTTCTCTCTCTCCCTTTCTGCTCTCAACTGATGGCTCTAAATTCAAACATTCTTTCCTCTGTAGCCACAATGACCCCTCAGCGTTTTTCTGCCCAGCCATGTCCATCACTTCAGAAATAAAGTTCCAATCACTCAGCTCTAGAGTCCCGCTGACAGGCCCATTTTCAGGCATAGGCAGGGCCACCACAGTTAGGCCTGTGGGGCATAATGGGTCCTCACAGCTTCTTTGGTAACCAAAAAATGGCAGCCATGGCTGCGCTATCGGTGCCAGTTAACCAGCTGGACTGCACTGTCACTTTGACCTGGGTACTGTATTTGTGCTTTCAGGCAGGGGAAAGGAACTGCACCCTGTCCCATTCATTTAGAGTTTCTCAGAAAGACAGCTTTTGAGTTCTAAGAGTCCATTTAGAGCTGAAGCTTACCAGACTCCCCGTTCCTGTTCCTGCTGACATAGCATACTGTACTTTAGTGAAACATTCAAAATACAAATTTAGTGCACAGACAAAGGTGGTGACAAATGCAGTCAAACTTAAAACTTTGATTCTCAACTTTCTGACACTTTAAAACATTTACACACACAATAAAAGCCACACACACATACTGTACACACCTTCAGGTGAAGGTCCCACAAGTGTGAGTCGTAGTTGTCATAGCGACACACTCTCAGGCCTGCGCTTTCTGCCAGTCTGCAGAATTCTGCCAGTGTGTCTCCTCTGGTAGGAGCAAATACTAGAGCCGTGCCCTAAAGAGACAAATTACAAACAGAGATACTTTATTAGTGTTTCACTTCACTTCAACAAACTGTTCATCTGTTAGCATCTAATACAAGTAAAAGTAAAAGATCATGTATGTTATAAGACTGTCAACATACTTTCTCATTAACCTAATAATGAGACTATTTTTTTTTTTTTGGTATAGAAGCAATTTCCAATGAAAAATTACTAGTAAATTTCACAAACAATTAGAAATAGCAAGTAGCATTGAATTAAAAATAAAATGTTTAAGTAGAAAGACTGAAAGTTCTTGTTAAATGTACTCCAATAATCTTTTGTTTAAAACTTCAAAAAATAATTTTTTACAGACTGCTAGTCGTGGCCAGTGAAATCATACTAATATAATTTACTCAGCATTACTCTGACCTTGCTAAAAGACACTGCTCTCATTTGCTAAAGGAAATATCAATCTTCTTCCTCAAATATAAATCCATCTTCTCACATATTGCTCTAATAATAATAATATAATTATTATTAAATAATAAAAATAATAAATTATTGTTGTTATTATTATTATTATTAAAATACCGTGACATCTCCGTTCCCTCCTTCAGGGAACGAGGGTTACCATACATAACCGAGACGTTATCCTGTTTGAATGTGCATATACAAATGTAAATAAAGCTGATTCCCCTAAAAAGTCCAAACATTGTGGCTCCTGTCTGCTTGATAAAACAATGAAAGGCAGGGTAGTACGATAGTTGGGACACCTGTTTGAATACAAAATACTTATTTTAAACCAAACTGCGATAAATGGCCTAGTAAATTACAAAATAAAGAATTTTAGCAGGCAGATTTTAATCCCTAAAATGAAAAATTGTGGTAGACACTGGTAAGCTTTTAGTGTGGGTTGAGCTCTTTTCTCCATCCAGCCCAGCTCATCTTCACTGCGTCTCAAAGCCCACTTGCTGTATGTGGCGGTTTGCATTCATTACATTCTATTTGATTTCTCCCAGGTATTATATTAGATAATAAACAAAAAGATTAAAGCTCACCTAATCCAATCAATGGCTGGAAGCGCATCCCCTCTCTTTATAGATCAACAAGCCCAGACCAACCAGGCAAGCTAAGAGGATTACCCAAAGGTTCAAAGTTTCTTTGAAATCGTTCGGTTTTAAATATTATTTCATGTTTTGTTCACGTTATTGCTTTAATTAAATGGGCAACAACACAAATGATACAACCAACTACTAATATGAGAATAGGATAATCTCAATACAACAGATGTTTTCAATTTTTCATAAGCTCCACACATGATGTATGCCGAAAGCACACACATACACAAACAGCATATCTGCAGATATGTTAATCAGCTGTGTGTGCTGGCCGCATGGTCTGCTGGCATTTTAGAATAACAAATTAGAGTCATTAGGAGGAAAATTAGTTTCAATAAATTGGCTCAAACATTTGGTCAGCAGTGCTATGGGGAAAATCACAACAATAAATCTGTTTTAACCCTTCTCGACTCAGCAATGAAGACAAGACATTTTCATTTACTGAATGAGTGATTGCTTTGACGCAGCATTATTACCTGACTAGGAGAATTCGTATTTTAATAAAAAGTTTTAATTACCAACAGGTTTCAACTTTTTTTCTTTTTGTTATACGGAGGTCACATTAAAACTTGTCCTGGAAACTTTTACTATGCTTTCAATTTATTGCTGCCACCTTGCTGACAAATGCTTTGTGTGTATGGATTTTATGTTACTCTTTTACAGACCTAGACTTTCAACCCCAAAAATTAAAATCATAAAAATATTGCATCTTTATTGTAAAATTATATAAAAAAAATTGTTTTACATATATATATATATATATATATATAGCTTTTTTTTTAAACCGCTAAGGTAAAGAAAGAGTGAAAAAAAAAAATATATATATATATTACAGTACTGTTTAAGAAAAAAAATTGTTTTTTCCCCTCAATTTTTCCCCTAAAAATGTTTTTTAGTGTACTTAAATACTGAGGATATAACCATGCTTGATATAAAATATGAAATGTAAATTATATTTTATATAAATGTAATTATTATTTTATTTTTATTACCACAACCATTATTTTCATCACGTAATTCGAGTTGTGTTGGAAACGGCAGAATTTTCTTGTGATGCATGTATGTCCAATTTTTTTATTTTTTATTTTTTTACAGTAAACATTAAAAAAACAAGAATTTAGCTTATCAAGATTAGTTGAAAAACACCCAATAAAGACATCAAATATCAAAGACAATTCATAAGAAACCCTAAAGATAAATACAAATACAATGTTATCGTTGAAGTGTTTTTCATTTGCAGTTCAGGGTCTTATATCAAGAGGGCATGAAAGAGGACTTGTGGGTCTTATGATTAGTGCAGTACATAAAATAGATGAAATGACCCAATCTAAGTTGCACATAATAAGTATTAAAGTATTACGTGATATTAATCCTGCCATTCCATTACTCGCTCAATCACTGCATGCCAACTAATTACTGAGAGTCCACACACA